CAGCACCGCCATGCCGGTGGGCCCCGTGGAGAACGTGACCAACACCACCAGCCTGACGGACAGCAAGGAGGACATATTCGCCAAGCTGAAGGCCAAGTTCATGAACGAGCTGAACAAGATTCCCTGTGAGTAGCCGGGGACCGGCCCCCGCTGCACAAACAGCCCAGGCAGCGCTGGCGAGGGGATGGGCCTGCATCTGCCAGCCCAGCGCAGCTAGAGCCAGCCGGGCCGCCCCAGTCCCAGGCACCCCATTACCCGTCACTGAAGCCCCATGGAGGAGCCAGAGGGGAGTTGCCACGGGGGAGCCAGTGGGGAGGTACCAGGGTGTGAGGGGGGCAGGGGAGCAGGGAATAGTGGGGAGTGACCATGGAGGGACTGGGAGGAGGTAAGAGGGGAGTCACTAGGCAGTGATGTGGGGAGGGGAAGTTAGTGGGGAGTGATGGGGGTAGTTAGTGGGGAGTCACTAGGCAGGGACTTGGTGGGAGGGGAAGTTAGTGGGGAGGAGCCAGTGGGGAGGTACCAGGGTGTGAGGGGGGCAGGGGAGCAGGGAATAGTGGGGAGTGACCATGGAGGGACTGGGAGGAGGTAAGAGGGGAGTCACTAGGCAGTGATGTGGGGAGGGGAAGTTAGTGGGGAGTGATGGGGGTAGTTAGTGGGGAGTCACTAGGCAGGGACTTGGTGGGAGGGGAAGTTAGTGGGGAGTTACCAGGCAGTGTGCCCAGCCTGGTTTTTGTGTGTGTGGATTTGCTAGTTGCCAGAAAACCACTTTAACCTGCCAGGTTTTTTGCATAGTCTAGAGGTTTGCATGGGCGTCCCGAGCCCCTGGGCTAGCTAATGTTAACAGTTTCTGTGTCCAGCGAATGAGGTGGCAGCGTTCCCCCTCTCACTGTGTAAGTAAGACCCTGCTGCCCTGGATCTTCTCTCTGCCCTCTCTCTCTCTCTCGCTACTGCCTCAGGGGCGCTGCTGTGGGGGAGAGCTGGGGTTGCAGCAGGCTTGCCTGGCTGGGGCTGTGCTCTTCTGGCATTCCAGAGTCCTGGGCAGTGGGCCGGGGAGGGGGTGAGTGGGTGATTCCATATCCCACGGCGTGTTGGCCCCGGGCGAATGGCAGAGCTCCCGCCCGGCTGTGCCCTGCGGAGCACAGGAGAGGGGTGTGCCCTGTGTCCGGGGGCATGGCCGTGGGGTGCTGGCCCCTGGGGCGGGGTGTGTGGCTGCGGCGCCAGGGTGACCATGGGGCTGGCTTTGTTTTGCACACAGTGCCCCCCTGGGCCCTGATTGCCATCGCTGTGGTAGCCGGCCTGCTCGTCCTCACCTGCTGCTTCTGCATCTGCAAGAAGTGCTGCTGCAAGAAGAAGAAGAACAAGAAGGAGAAGGGCAAGGGGATGAAGAACGCCATGAACATGAAGGACATGAAATCGGGGAACCAGGTAACGCCCCCGGGAAAGCCTCAGCTGGGCCACCCGCTCAGTGTGTCAGCGCCTGCTGGGGGTGGTGGCAGGGGACAGGCCGACAGGCCTGTGCTCGTACAGCCGGGCCGGCGCAATGCAGCTCCACAGACACAAGGTCAGGGCCCCAGCTCAGCGGTCACCGAGAGCAGGGTGTGAACCCCAGGCCCCTCTGCGCCTGTAAAGCACGAGCCAGAGCCAAAGTAGCGAGGGCATCAACCCAGGGCAGGAGCACATCAGGACCACCAGGAGACACAGCTCCCTGGCTGCCCCAGGCTGGGTGACACGCCCGGAAGGCACGTGGGAGAGGCTTATCCAGCATGAGGAGTGAGTGGCAGACACTGGGTGGGGGGCGCTGGTTTTGCCAAGGAGGCATAGGGCTCCCCGCTGCATGGCCGGGGCTGGCTTTTCTAACTAGAAATGGGCCTGAGATGCAGAATTTGGATCTAGGGGTTTTAACCTCCCTTGTGAAAAGCAGGGTTTCAGAGGGAGGGCGCCCTGTGCCACACAACTAGATCCCACCTGCAACCCTACGAATACGCTAGCTGCGAAACATGCCAGCAGGTGGCAGTGCCTGCCCGGATCTGCCGTGGCACAGCTGTTTACAGAGATGTCTCGTAACACAACTTTAAATCTAGACCCATCCCTCCTAACATCACTGGTTTCCCCAAACCTGGAGGGCACACAGGAGCTGGCTAAGGAAAAACTGGAGCTTCCAAGGGCTCTCTGCTCCTCACAGAAGGAAGCTTGAGCAGCAGAGTTCACAGCAGAGTTGTCAAGGAATCAAGGGCGGCACCGCCCTATCGACTCATCAAATAGTCGATGCAAAAATGCATCGACTATTCGATGAGTGAATTACACGATACTTAACATCCTTACAGAGCAGAGGCTGGACAAGAAGCAATGGGCTCAAACTGCAGTGAGGAAGGTTTAGCTTGGACATTAGGAAAAGCTTCCTGTCAGGGTGGAACACTGGAATAAGTTGCCCGGGCAGGTTGTGGAATCTCCATCACTGGGGATATTTAAGAGCAGGCTGGACAGACCTTGTCAGGGGTGGTCTAGCCAGTGCTGGGTCCTGCCGTGGGCAGGGGATGCCTCTCGAGGTCCCTTCTGGTTCTAGTGCTCTAGGATTCTGCTGCACGTAGCGACACGTTATGGCCAGACTTGAATTGCCAGGCTCCTCCGTCTCCCGGGCTCCACGAGCAAAGAGTTTGAAGCGGAGATGAGATCTGTGTCCTTCAAATGCTCTAGCAGAGCTTGCTGCACTGGGCTGTAACTGAGGAAAAAATAGTTAAGAGCACAGACTCCCCGGGCGCCGTGGAGAGCGTGTTCACCCAACCGCTGCAGCACGCGGTGCAGCCGGGAAACCGGAGCTGCGGGTTTCTTAGGAACGACTGTCTCCAGTTCTCCACCCACGGCGCTCACAGCAGGAGAGAAAAGGAAAAGACCGACACCCACGTGGGAAGGGCTGGGGCCTTTTCCGTGAAAGTGTGCGATGCACAGTGGGGGGGGGGTGCGTGTGCGTGTGCGTGCGAGAGACTCCAGCTCGCTCTGCCACTGACTTGGGAAACCATTTAGGCCAGAATTTCTCAACGAGAGGCCCAGGGTGAGGCGCCAGCCTCCCTTGCGGGGACCTAGCTGGGGGGGCTGGTTCCCTGAGGTGCGGAGCACCCTCAGCTCCCTGGGGAATACATGGGACGACAGTAGCACAGCGCGAGGGTCACTGAACCATTCCTTTCAGCTGCAGCCCTGGGCGCAGCCTGTGCTGTGGTGGGTAAAGTCGCTCCCCCCGTCAGGCCGGCCACCCTCGCTGGCCACAGCTGGGCCCATCCGCAGAGCCGAGGGGATGGGCCACACACCTGTGTTCGCTCACACGATTCCTAGTGGGATTCCAGCTTGTCTGTCTAGCCCCCCTTCTGTCTGCTTCTCATCAGTCCTGAGAGCAGCACTGCAGCTACCCAGCTCGCTTCCGGCCTCCCACTGGATTTGCTGGGTGGCTGAGCTCCGGCCGGGCTCCAGCTGCGGGACCCAGAGCTTGCTGCACTTTGCAGTTCTCGCGCCCATTGTACAGGGGGGGAAAATCGAGGAGGGTCTCAGCTGAAGCTCCTTCTGAGCATGCTGAGGAAGGGGTTGCTGAGGCCGGTGGCTTCCATCCACTAGTGTTGTCTTCAAGTCGTCATTGTCAAGTCCAAGTCACTACAGTTCGAGTCTCAAGTCCCTAAAGTCACTTTCGAGTCACGTCCCAAGTCAAGTCTCAAGTCTTAATTTAAAAAATGTCGAGTCACTTTTGTACAAGCCATCGATATCGGCCTTTTCGGACAATTTTTTCACCAAGTTGATTTAACTAAATTAGTGACTAAAGTCACAAACAATGAACCAGAGTCGAGTCTCGAGTCGAGTCACCTCAGCGACTTAGGTCGGACTCGAGTTCAAGTCGTGGGACTCGTGTCAACAACTCTGCCATTTGCTGTAGGGTTTGTATCTCTGCTGACCCTCTAAGCGGCGCACACTAGCACGCTGACTGGTTGGTGCTCCGGCGTGGGACGATGAGAAGCGGGGGGGGGGGGGGGGGGGGGGCCG